TATATCAGATGATGGTTTCCATGAAAAATCTAAAAAATTATTTCTTTTTGATGATGTTGATCTTTTATTTGATAATTCAACTTTTTCATCATTGGTTAAATCTAATTAATTTATATGAAATAATTTTCTATAAATAATTCAATATAATTTTTTCTTACAGTGATGATGTTTTTGTAAATATTGAACAGTTTGACGTAAAATTGAAGCTTTATCAAATTTATTAGTTTGATCATTTGATGAACAAATTTTTTTAATAGAAAGTAAATCTTCTAAATTTGCTATTAATTTACTAAAGAGATCACGACGACGTTTTTCATTTTCATTACGAAATTGTCTAAAAATCATAACAATTAATTCGATCTAAAGCTAGAAAACATTTTTTTACCTTTTTAATGGTGATTGTTTGGCATCATTTCTAACAGGAAAACAAAGCAAAATTATTTTCTGTTTTTATTTATTTATTAAAAGCTTTACCTTGAATGTATTCGCTTTAATTTTTTTGTATTTTTATTCATAGCCAAGCATCAAAATTTTGGATCCAATGATAGTATAAATACGTATCTATCAATAACAAACAAAACAAAATAATGGCAATGATTCGAAGAAATATATAAGAGCAACAAGAAAACATGAGACGATAAAAAACGAGTTATATTTTTAGTCAAAACAAAAAGACTATTTCGCTTTCCAAAAATTTATTTTGAAATATTTAAAAGTTCTATAAGAAAGAAAATTTTTCTCTTATTTATCTTGATCTTACACTAAATAGAAATAACTCTTTAAATCAACGATTGATTCACATAAAGAAAAATCATTTGAACTGAATCAATCGATTTATTTTGAAATTTTACAAAATTATAATCTACATATCTACTTGACTTTATTTTCTACCTAAAAGGAAAAAAACCTGATTAATTAATATCTTAGCTACGAAATATTTTTAAATACATCGATTTGAAATTCTTTCGAAAATATTTTATTATTAATATTTAATTAGAAAATAATTCGATATTTATACAGATGTAGAATCATATATATTTTATTTAATAGATTGTTCTATAAACTATTGACGACGATGACGAAACCCATCCGCAGACTTTCTTTTTATCCAAAAAAATAATTTTTATTCTAAACACAAAATATCAATGAAATATTTTCTGAAATCATCATCAGAAATTAAAGTAAGCTAAGCCATAAATATTAGAAAATTGGTTAAATGAATCATTCATTTTGATAAGATGTTCATAATCAATGACTCATGCATTCTATAACCGGGTGGAAAGTGACGGATGCAGTTTGAGTTAGAGATAGTGATCACTAGCTTCTTTGAGTTTATAATATATCATACGAATCGTAATTTTATTCTTATTCAAATGTATTTTCTCTAATTTGGGACAAATTGGAGAAAATCTGTTTGAAGTGATTTATTTTTCTATAGTACTGCCCTCTATACCTTTTCCAGTGTTATTGGTTTCACAAATAAATATAAGGCAGTTTTGTGGTAAATGTCATTCGCTTTTCTTCCATTCAAGTACCCGTCGTTATTTAGAAAATAACTTTATCAGTGATGCATATCTAAAAACAGCAATTCAGAGTAAAAAAACATCGGTAACCTGATATTTATTTTGTACTAATTTGGGACAAATTACAATTTTTTTGATTTTCTTATTACTCGATTCTATTTTTATAGGTGTCGATAGCAAGAAATGCATCTGCTATTGACAAGTTGAAAGAAACGATTTTTTTCTGAGAGACAATATGATAGACTACTTTGATTGATCTTTTTATAAGAGAATTCATTAAAAAAAATATTTCGAAGTTTTTCAATCAAACAATAGGTTAAAATTATTGAACAGATGTCATTATATTGCAAAAATTGATTTCAACGAATATCCAACTAACGATATCTTTCTGAAGTATTCAATTTATTTTAGCCGAGGTTTTGAAAAAAAGCTTCTTTTGTAGTTTTTTTAAAATTCTTCTTGATGAAATTTTTGTTTGTCTTTAGTGTTCATAAATTCAAATTTCTTTCGAAAGAATTCATTCATCGGAATGAATTTCTAATGAATAACGGATGACCATAAAGAATCGTCCTTTTAGCACTTAAGATTTCTCCTCTATTATCCACTCAATTGAAACACATATTTTTATCAAAAGATATCGCTTCACATTCTGCACAAAATGTTATAGTTTGTTTAACAAATATAATCTCTTCTACTTTTTTTGGATCAGACGTACTCGTACACTTAGGTCACGCGTGTAAACTTCAACAAAATTCTGATAACATTCAGTTTACAAAATTAGTTCACCCTTTTTTATGCAGATCAGTCATTGTTAACTCATTGATCCTTTTTTTTTATAGCAAACAGCCAAGATGTTCACACGATAGCAGTGATACGAGCCTTGTGTAAACGAGCATTTTTCTTGTTGACAACTATTCCTTGTAAAGTAGACGTATTTCTTATCAAAAATGAAAATTTCGAAAAGCGAGTTTATCAGTTTTGGAATTAATCATTACTAGAAGTTATGAGTTTAACTTCTAAAAATATTATTTCATTAAATATGACAGATTTTTGTTTTTCTAGCTCTCAATCTTAAACAAAAAGAGTTTGTTCCGTGCATTGGAAAATAAGTATAACAGGATATTAATTTTCGTGATAATGTTTTTTTGAAATTTTCTCATCTGTTGATTAATATTTTTACGCGGTTGACATGCTTTAAAAAAAGAATTTAGATCTGTCACTGTGTCGAGTATAAAAAATGTTTCACACAGTGTTTAGAAAGCATCATTAGTTAGAAAGTTCCTCTAGTTCCTATTTCTAAGTGATTCCAATATCTTTATTATTGTTACGTATAAATATTGAATGAGTTTCTGTTTATCGAACTGAAAATGATAAGATTTCTTGATCATGAAACAATGAATAGTTAATCATTCAAAAATAGAGGAACTAAAGGTGAGTTGACACAATTGAAGAACAACTAAAAGAGATTGGTGGATATTGCAATCTTCATCTTTCGCAAATGTTAAACATTTTGAGTGAGAGTCTGAATGAGCTAAAATAAAATCTTTTCAAATTTACTTATTCCTAATTGAAAAATGATAGACTTCAAATTCATACGGAAATAAACCGAGTGTATGGATGAACTTGGAATTTCAATCAAAGGTTACGTTTCTTCTCCTGAGAATATCTTAAAGTGTTTGATTTTGTTTTCGCTATTTCTTCTTCGTAATCTTTGGAGCATCGTGACAACTCTAAGAATGCCGTTCATAATTACTATTTATATAAACAATTGAAGCGCTACAATAAAAACTTGATTAGCTCTTTTAACTTTCAATTATTGATTATATATTCCCCTGTTATGGAAAAAAAACGCTGATTGACTTTCTTTTTTAATATATAACTGAAGCAAAGTTGCAGAGATATTATTAGAATAACAATTATTTGCTTCATTCAACAGCGAGAGACACTTTCTCCGGATGTTGAGCACGTTCAATTGGACATTCTTTTGTTACTTATCGATTCAAATACTTTTATAGTATTTTTTTATGCAACTTTATAAATAAAAGAAAAGTTCATTTAATTTAACAATGAACAATAATGCCTTTAGAAAACAAGAACGAAAATAAAACTTTAAAATTCCTTTGATAAGCGATTATTATAAATAGATGACGTAGAATATGCGCCATGTGATAATGTTACTTTTAATAATTTAACATTAGAACAATCTGTTTGTGTATAAGTTTTTGAATTTTGTTTTTCAATAAATCTATTCATTGTATCTATATTTCTTTGTTCAATAATTAAATATTTTCGAAATATTTCAAAACGATATAAACCTAACATTTTAATAGCGGATGAACGATAATGATTAACACCTAAGATATATATAAAAAAATTGATACATAATGCAGCTATATTTAATAATTCACTTAAACGTTTTAATATATGTAATGACAATATTAAACGAATATTACAGTGAGATTGATAGTAAAGTATAACAAAATAAGATAAAGTTTGAACAATTGCATATGGAAAATATAAAATAAGAAATATTAATGATACTAATGTTAATGTAACTGTTAATTTTGAACGAAGATGTTCATTTTGATGACTAATTATTTGACGAGGAGCATGAAGACGTTTTAGAATTGCTAAAGAATAAAATAGAATTGAATTTTATTTTAATGAAAAATATACAAAACCAACCTGCATTGCTTCCTATTAAGATAATAGCAGGGATTAACGTATACGATAAAAGATGAAAAATATAATTATTCCAAAAAATGAAAAATTTCATTTTATTTGAATTGAGAAATGGTGAAACTCTGCATGAACATATTTGTTTATATTGAAGTTTTTTTGTTTGATTTAAATCAAATCTTTGATGAAATATTGCACTATGTTGAAAACCTGTTGGTCGACAAATCCATTCTTTATAAATTAAATGTGGAAGATTAATTAAAAGTGAGAGGAATATAAATATAAAAATAATACATTTAGCACAATGTCGATTACATAAACGACGCGATAAATTTGGCCATTTTTTTGACCATGGATCACAAACAAGTATAAAACGATCAATTGTTAAACCGACAATTGTCCAACATGAAAGCAAGATAATTGAATGTTTTGAATAATCATAAAGTTTACAAATAAATGATAAACGAAAATTTAATAAATTTTTTGAAAATAAATAAATAAATAAATCATTCAAAGATTGGAGACATTCATAGAATAATGCAAAAAAATCGAAAAAGGATAATGCTCGAAGATATTCAACGAATGAATGTTGAGATAATGAAAAACGACATATTACCAAAAAACATATTAAATTACCGCTTAATCCAATTAAACCAAATATGAACGTACCTAGAAATCAACTTGTTTTTTTATGAAATTTTATACTTTGAAGAAATCAGATTATCCTTAATTTTTAAAACATCTTTTTTTCCAACTATGTAATGAAACAGATATTATTTTGACTAGAGGTTTTCTTCAACATATCATATAAAATAAAAAAAGAAGAGAATAGAATATAAAATAAATATTTACCAATAATATTGATCCACCACCACCATGATCCTGAATCATCATTAAAGGCTTGATTCAAGATAAGAAAAGAATAATTTTTTTGTCGAAATATTTCTGCACAATTCATTTCATATTTAACTTATTGAACGTAAACAAGAATATGTATCTAGATATTTACTAAAGAAAAACTAAGGAAATGATCAGCGCCTTACTGATTTGTTTTTTCTCTCTTATGTGAAGAATGAAGAAAAAGCGAGAGAGAAACTCGCAGAACAATAAGAAGCTATTTTTTCTTTTATGTAAGTGTTTGCCTTTTTCTGTGCAAGTATTATCTTACAGTTAGCTGATTTTGTTTGATAATTAGTCAATGTTTTTTCCCTCTCTCTCTTGCTTTCATCGTCACAAAATAAACGAGTGTAATGAGAACACTAACTATTATTGATTTCATTTCTCCATTGATTTAAATGTTATCTCTCGAAAAT